ACACCTTCCTCTACATCGTTTTTTTCCATAGCACACGAAGACGTCGTTTTCGATAAAACAAATCGCGATTTCGACCCTGAAGAACTCCTTTCAACTTGACGGTTTTTTCACAGGAGAGCTCGAAGAGGCCATTTTTGGTGAAACGTTTCGCAAAAATTAAGATAATTTTGCGGTTTTGGAAAGAGTTACCATAAGTGGCTCCTTAACTATATATATTGTGCGCAATCGCTGTCGGTCTCCCATGACAGAGTGAGCATCACATTGTCGTTGATGCGTCGTAAGGCCTCGGAGGCCAGATCCCATCCAAGAAAGACAGATGTACGAGAGGTGGAGCACCAACTATGTCGTGACACATCGTTGTAACTCTGTCGCGTTGGTCAGTCATTCGATGGTCGGCTCCAGAATCCGCAGACTCTGGGCCGCGCGTCCCTGTTTCTTGCCTCCTTTCGATTGTTTGCCTTTCTTGCCGCTGCCTTTGTTGCCCTTGTCGCCTTTTGTCTGCCAAGGTGGTCGTGGTGTCGTAGTTGGTTCGAAGTTGAACGGCACGGCCGGTGTGGGAGTCGATGCCATAAACGACGAAGCCGGGGTCGGTGGCCACGTACTGGGTATTGGTGGGCCACATCGGCGGAGTCGGTGGTTGCCACGTAGCGGTACTCTGTGACCAAGGGCGCCACGAAGAAGAAGCCGGCGTCCACGAGGTGGATCGATAACGGCGTCCTTGGCCCCGCGGCGACCATCGCGGTTGATACCCTTCGCCTTTTTCTTTCGGTCCCTGCTCCGAGTCTTTTCGTGACTGGTTGTTGTAGGGTGTCGGTGAATCTGGTGATGTCAGACATGAGATCTTCGGTGATCACCTGGAACGTGTCGGTGGCCCTCATCCGCATCGCGATGTCCCAGGAGAAATCTTCCCAAAGGCTCTTGATGTTGGAATGAACCAATCGACGTACTTGTTGATGACCGTCTCGGTGGCATACTTGATGAGAATCCAAGCCCAGCAGATGGCCTCGATGGCGTCGATGAGCATCCGTTGTCCCCTGACGCCCCAATCTTCCTGTGCTTTCTCGGAGATATTGTTTCGTTCGTGGAGGACTAATTCCCCAATAGCCACCAGGTTTGGGGTCCATCACTTACCTGGTCTGCGGACGCGTCGACCGCGGATTTGGGGAAAGTCTGGACAGCCGGTGTCCCGGTCGTCTGTCAATACGGGTCGGTGTCCCGATCGGGCGGTGTCCCGGTCAATGTCCTGGTCTTTGTCCCGGTCGGTGTGTCGCCCACGTTGCGTCAGTGTCCCGGTCGTGTCGAGGTCAGTGTCCCGGCCGCGTGTCCCGGTCTTGTGAAGCTCGGTGTACCGGTCGTCTTCCCAGTCGGTGTTTGGGTTGGTGGCCCGGTCGGAGTCCCGATCGTTGGTCGGCGTCTTGCTCCGTGTCCCAGTCGTGCGCCGTTCGGTTTTTGAGTCCGTCTCACAGTCGTGGTTCGCTCAACGTTCCGGTTGCGCCTTCGTCGGTGTCCCGGTCGGTGTATCGGTCATTTCGGTCAGCGTTCCGGTCGTGTCTAGCGGTCGTGTCCCGGTCATGTGAAATGTTGGTTTATCGGTCGTGTTTCGGGTCCGTGTCCCGGTCTTGTCAACCTCGGTGTACCCAGAGACTGACTCAACCACCGAACGGCACACGACTTGGACACGGAGCAAAACACCGACCACGACACGACCGGGACACCGATCGGGACACCGACCGGGCCACCAACCCAAACACCGACTGGGAAGCCGACCGGTACACCGAGCTTCACAAGACCGGGACACACGACGGGACGCTGACCACGACACGTCCAGGACATTTCACATGACCGGGACACGACCACTAGACACGACCGGAACACTGACCCAAAAACGACCGATACACTGACCGGGACACCGACCAAGACGCAACCGGAACACTGACCGAAACACGACT